GCGAATGCTGTGCGATATGTCTGTCGAAATCCCGTGCCTTTCAAAAATAACAAAAATACGCAAATCGCACGGTGAAACAAAAATAGTTTTGTTTTCGCAGTTATCTTCCATTTTGCCGTATTTAACCGTTTCACCTTTTTTCCACCTCGCTCTGTATCCGAATCACCTATCCTCCAATAATGTCATTGTTAACGTTGCTGTGGCGTCGGTACCATGCTTGTTCACAAGCCGGTGTNNNACATAAATGTTTTTTTTTGTAGAACGGAACGGGCTTCAGGAGATTTGCGGAGTCCTTTTTCACCTTATTACTGAGCTATATTTGAGAGCTAATCCTCATGCTACCAAATCACCTTTCGCGGATGCTTTAGCGTAGTGTTCTGGAAGTAGGCTTTAATCACTGTCGTTGACTTGCATTTTCATGATAACCGAGGGAATTACCGCGTTTGACAAAATCTATGCTATTCCTTGGTTTTCTAGATCATCGGTGTTCATTCTAGTCACGAGGTGAGGGTTTTGGTGCGTTTTCATATGGATCTTGAGGTGAATGTGCACGAGGTATGATTGATGCTATTTGCAGTCCTAGTTACCACACAACTGTGGGCTCAGCAGTCCTTGATTGTGGATGCCCGGGAGGACCAAACTAAGATACAGCCGAGCTGTTTTCAGAAAGTCCTTGGTAGAGGAGTCAGCCAACAGCCTGATGTAAGACGCAAAACGGACACAGGTAAGATGCGTTACATGGGGATACACAAGTGGTAGGTGTGTACGCATGCGAACGGACAGCCGTTTCACATTTTGACAGCGATATATTTTATCAGAACTATGCTACTGATGAATCAGTCAGTAGTTAAATACGAATGGTAGAAAATTGAAGTGCAGAAACTCACGGTAAACAGTACAAAGTACTTTTGGTTGGCTTCTCCGACGCAGTTGTTTATCCACGGGCAATGATGGTCCATTTTGCGTACGCATCGAAAACACACCCTGAATAGGACATTATCGATCGAAAAACATGTGAACAAAGGTAGGAAGTGCCAAATGCCACGTGTACAAATGTGGGAAGAATGAACCAAAAAAATTAACCTTGAATTGACCGCTGAGACAAAAAAGGATGACGATGGTTAAAATAAATGAGCAATGACTAGAAAAAACCATGCCCGTCCCGTTAAAGTGAGAACCGACAACTGCAAGCGCAAAATAGGAAAAGAGCTACGGAAAGATAAGTGCACGGTAATACCCAACCTAATGTGCATTTCTTTTGTTCATTTATTACGTCTAAGAGGATCTCGGAGCACAGTGATGATCGCAAACCGAAATGATGATCAAGGAAAACGACAAAAAATCGATAACTTTGATGCTTCATAGGCGTGTGTTTGACTGGTGGCAATTGGACACGCCTATAGAAACCGAAAGCCGACACGAAATGTGAATTAATTCGGTCCGTCCCGATTACATTTTCTCTAGGGCGGAGCATTGTATTTGATCAGATGAAGTAATGGCGGTTTATTTATGCGGGGCGAAATCGTGAGAGAAGACAAAAATGAAAATAGAGATTTCATGAACTTCGTGGACAAGTAGAGCCCTATTCAAGTGACGAGGAATCACCTGAGAAGGCGTTGGTCTTTACTAGTGATATTTTATTAGATTTTAATGATCAACCATTTGTAGAAACAGATAGGGATACTGTTCGAAAGCGAAGCAAAAACATGACGAGGAAACGCGGTGGTGATGACCGATAGTAACCTCCTCCAAAACATTCAATAATTATCACTGTCATAGAATCTAATGATTTTATTAGCATTTCTCCTTTTTTGATAATACTTGATTTGCATTTAGGTAAGGTATGCCATTGGAATCAGGTGATATTTTCTACTTTTATTTCAAACATCGAGAGAAAATCAAAGGGTTCCGATCAGTAGCTAAATCTTCAAATAATACAGTAGTGGTTCTACACACCAACGTACGATCTATCTATCATTCATTAATATCGTAAAAGTACATCCACATGTGCGTTAATCGTTCAGTCAGTTTTGTAAATTCAGTGATCGTCCACTAGAGTAAGAGGTTGACCTCCACAGATTACGCATGTCACCGGATAGGTTACCACGGCGGGCGATGTTTGCAAGTATACATATATATATACAAGACTGGCTTATGAACAAGCATGGTGCCAACACCACAACAATATTATTAATAACAATATCGCGGAGGGATACAACGTACAGGAAAGATGTAACTGTCAGAACAGAAGATTACGAATAAATGGGATGACGATCTTTTGGTGTGTTTCACCGTACACTTTTGAAATTTTTTTGTTGTTTGCCGTTTTTACAAGGCACGGGATTTCGACAGACATATCGCACAGCATTCGCGCCACTGACGTCTATTCTGGCCCATATCTCGCAGCGTCTCTAACCAACAATAATCTTCATCCCGTGGGCCCCAACCCGGAAGGCGGGCTGCAACAACCGAGACCAAAGCAGAAGCTAGCTTCTTCTTACCTCTACGCCATGTCATGGTCTAACCGCCACGCCGCTTCTTCCAGCCTTGCCCGGCACGTGCGAAGAGAGCACGGAAAGGTAGTCGGTGGGCAGGTATACGCAATACGTGACCAAGCCATCGGAGGCGGTGTAGAACGATTACTTCCAAATCAAGTCAAGTATTTTTCCGTTAGAGAACGAATATCCACATCCAATACACGACGACGAACCTCGTCATTGCTCACCCGATATTTCTACCAGACACGAGTGATGCTTCCGAGACATTGATAGTCGAATACAGAAATTCGATTGGCATCTTCCGCTCGGAGAGGCCAGATCTCGCAACCGTAAAGTAGAACACCACGAATCGCGGCAAGCAGTGGATGGAAAAATGTCAAGGGCAGTCAAACTAAGAGCTGGAATGCGGGTATAAAAACCCTAACCAGGAGACTGCGTCATATGAATGGCGTTAGCCTCCATAGCTGGGAACATCAGGATCAGCGTAACTGATGGTTAGAAACACTGAGCGATATGGCTGGGTGTCACAAACATGCATCTACTCCATAGACTTGCAACCTCAGTCTCTAAGATTTTTTCTCTGTCTTCGCTTTGAATCTGCTATCAATATTCCAATCTTCGGCCTGCTCTCTTATCCAAATGGGCGACGAAAATACAGGAACCAAAACAGGCGCACAAAAGTGCATGGTTAATGTTTGTAAAAATTGAAATGAACTGAACGTTCATACCAAAACATTTAATCCTTTTGGTGTATGATAAAGTGCCAGTTAAAGAACGTGTAAGGATCGGACTGATAAATGACATGGGATTACTCGGACGATGTGTAATGTTATGAGTGGTTTGATTATAAAAATTAAACATCCTCAAAGAATACTGAAATCTATTGGAACACATTCGATAACCGTATCCATGTTAGAACGTGTTTTTATATTTTTCTGCCATAAATTTGATGATCCACTGATAAAAAATTGCTATACATCGAATTAAAGGAGCTTAAAGACTTATACAGTTGACACTACTCATGAGTAACTTTGCATTTTCGCGGAAATTGCTCAAGGAGAGTTATTGGTCATATTTAAGCACAATCGGCCAAGAGCAAAAATGTTGGGAAACTGGTTGACCCATAGTCAGTTACAATGGTAAAATTTATTGCCCACTACTTGCATATATAATAGCGGCCTAAACCAATAGAAATGATGATCGGTAGGCTGCGGTAGTCAATCGGTTCCGGTTTGCTATACTGCCTCTGAGTCAATCACAGACAGAGAGAAACCCGAACAATTTCTTACAACGTAAACCACGCGCACCAGTTATCTAATTTCATATGACTGTAAAGTAATGCGACAGATCGGAGTGGTACAAACGATTAGCCGATGAATAAGCTAATACAAAGTGGTCCAGCTAGGGTAAACGAGTGGACAACGAACTAATAAAACTCATGAAATCGTTTTTACAACACACTTCCCCAATCTCTATGTCGTCTGACCGCGGATTGGTTCGCATTGTATCAAACTGAAAACTCATTCACTCCTCACATCACATTGTTCCACCAATATCTATGAAGCGAGAATAAATAAGCCTAAGATAAAACTTCGAACGGTAGACTTGCATTTCTGTGAGCCGCTTCTGGAGCCTGTCCGATTAACCAGTGCACAACCAAAATGAAGCAAATAAAAGGCTGCTGAAATGTTATAAACTCGAAGGTGTAGAATGTGAAAATGAGACTGCATTCCGAACGGGTGTAGTGGCTTCGGCGCTTCAAAGACCGGGAACGTCATACGGTTGACAGAACTACTAAGCTTTATTATCACTGTTTGAATTTGTAGACAGAAAGGATTCTTCAAAAAGATCACGCGGTCCACGATAGGGGTGTGTGCTTGCGCGAGATTCGTTCAACAAAGCTATTCACGGTAGTAACGCGTCAAGCCACATTCGCGTTTTGCAGAATCCAGGATGCGACGACCGCGAAAAGCTGATTGCATTGATTCGTTGTTCCACCCAGTGAAGTGTTTCTAACACCTGACTGTACGTTTGGTGGAAAAATATCAAGCTCTTAACAACCGATTTAGAAAGAAAACGCGTAGTACTATTCTTATTCCGATAGGTAAGCGTGCTCACATTCACGATAAGTGACCACATTATGATTATGTTTCTGGTCGATATGTAGTCACATGTGAATGAGAAAGGATAAACATAAACCTGAAGCTTGCAACGATCAATAGCATGAGCCTTCATAAAGACAGACGTGGTGTGGAATCGGACAATGAAGTGAAGCACCAGGAAAAAGAAACAGAGGCACTGTTAACTGCATAGTGTGGATTAGACAGAGCGGATAGCAGAGTGCACTGGTTGAATCAATCGATGAGAACTCATACATACTTGCTTGAGTACACACACACATAGACTAGCGGAAATGTAAACGGAGTCAGATGACCAGAAGAGTGACAGCCTTGCGGTGACTCACATCGGGGCACATTCAGAGAGAGAGACGCACAAATAGACATGTGCACGGAACAGGTTCAGTTTGAGCAGGTCAGTCGTGATTCAACGGATGGCGGTATTGCTGCTGATCAAGATGATAATAAAACATTCATGTCATATCTCGTTTGCATTCGTTTTGATACTGGCCGATGCGATTCAGCCACATGTTGCCGATCTTTCGGTCGACTGAGCAGACAGGAAGTTGCGACTGAACGCCGATTGGGTTTAGATCACGACTACCGACATTTGCATGTGGCTTCAAACGCACTGTTGGGTGAAGACGCCTATATTTCGCAATAACTGTTATTTTTCCTAGGGTTTCAAACATTTGGAAAACTTTTCCATTTACATCTATTTTCTGGTCGGAGAAAGATTTGCTCTTTGCACAAATTCCTTAAGTCCTGTGCCTCGAGGCTTGTGGAGTACATAAGAAGGGTCGGTTATGTAAATTCTACTTGTTTTTTTCTGGCTATTAAGAGATTTTTGTTTTTTGACCTCTCTCGTGTAGCGATGGTAAATGAATCGTGCACCGAATCGTACGCTGGACACTAATTTCGGACTAGTCGGCCGTACTGGTGTTCACAGTTGAAGGTGGTGTTAGAGAAAAGATCATATCAGGAACAGCGAAAGTTGGAGCAGCTTTCACCAACCCGCGATACCTATGGCGCCACCATGATATCCGATTGTCCCTCAATGGAAGGGCGTAAATCGCCGTGGTTCATCGTGTTCTGCTTTACGATTGCGAGAACTGGCCCCTCCGCGTTGATGATGCTAATCCATTTTCTGTATTTGATCATCAATGACTTTGAAGTATTACTCTTGTCTGGTGGGAACACCGAGTGAGGAATGACGCTGTGTGTTGGGTACTGACAGTCGTTCTCTAAAAGAAGTAATCATCTCCGATGGCTTGGTCACGTATTGCGTATACCTGCCCATCGATTGCCTTTCCGTGCTCTCTTCGTACGTGCCGGGCAAGGCTGGAAGAAGCGGCGTGGCGGTCAGACCATGACATGGCGTAGAGGTATGAAGAAGCTAGCTTCACCTTCATTTGTTACAGTCCACCTTCCGGGTTGGGGCCCAAGGGATGGGGATTGTCGTTGGTTAGAGACACGGAGAGATATGGCCCAGAATAGAAATCAGTGGTGCGATTGTTGTCCTGTTTGTTTGTCGAAACTCTATTCATCATAATGGACAAAAAAAATTTAAAAAAGCTTACACGTGGAAACTGACAAAACATTTGTTCAGTCGTTCTCTCTGTTCTATGTTTTCCTAATTTTCGGTTTATCAATCTATGCCCCTTACCACATTCTGCTTTTGTTGTTGCGTTGGCACCATGCTTGTCTTCAAGCCAATGCTATATATATGTATATATATTTGTGTTTGTTACCTGTTTATTGTGGTTTTGCGCACATTGGATGTCAGCGTCCCGGTTGTATTTCTTCCTCCGTAATGTTGCTTATTGTGCGCTTACTATGTCAGAATCCATGTTTGCACCTGTGGTTTGTGTTATTACTGTCTTTAATTTTGTGCAACCCATGGTAAGCTTTCTTGATTGTAACCTCCAGATCAACAAAAACAATTGATTAGAGGCCGAGTCTTGTGAACAATCGCACGGATGCGTCTAATCACATTTTGCTCACATCCAGTATGATCACATTCTCTATCTTTATGTTGACAAGCATTCGTCAATGTTTCTATCAGGCACAATGTACTTCCTCAATCTTCGAAAGAAAGCGAGCACAAACTCAGAGTTCGCCGTGGTATAAATTACACTGAAACTGAGTCAGAGTTAGCCTGCTGGGATAATGTATCCAACGCTCATATTACATCCTAATTGACCGAGCACTGGGTTGATTTAAAAAAACCGTAGTGCTACGGCATGAATTATTTACTATGTTCGACTCGCCAACGCCTTCCCTCACGACTGGGATTTCGGCGAATTCAAGAACGAATGGCTACCACTTGCCAGTTATCTTTTGACCTGCTACGTCAACAAATCGCTATCGGTGATCTGGTCGCGCTTTACCATCACCACTGTTGTGGTCCTATAACGAAAAATCATAGCGCAAACTTCACAGGTGGCTGCCACATTCAATCTGTGCACGAAANTGCACGAAACAAAAAGACCAATACCCGAGGTGGATTGGAAATGGGTCTGATTAGGCAACAGAAAACAAACGGAACCCATGTGTGCCTCTCTCTCACACACCCACTAAATTCATAATTCCATGGTGAAATCTTAATGGGTCTAATGAATGGATCACGCTGCAGTCCGCTGGCAACTCCGGTGAAAACAGTCGTAAGGTGCACTCATGGTGTGTATGTGTGCGTGCGTACTTCGGAATTTGCACTGTCGTCTTGCCAACTTATCGACTTTAGACGCGCAGAAAGGTCTTACCCCAATCAGGCTATCTGACTAATTCCCAAGTGAAACGCCTACAGAGTCACACCCAATCTGTGTGATTATCGACAATCAGTTGAGAAGCAAAAGCGGTGGGATTATAGTGATAATAGGGTGAGACATATTCACATAATTTGTCGTCTACTGTCAATCTGATTTGCGAGTGTAAACCAGGAATTTGAATGCAGATAGTAATAACGATACGTTATCTCACTTAAAGGAAGTGGATGAAGGGACAAACAGATGAACTAGAAGCTCGCTTGAAGGTGGAAAGAGATGCCATAAGACGGAATGTCGATTAACCGCGTGTGACCTGATGACCCATGATTAGGAATTGTATATAGTGGACATTTGTGCGATGAATGATGGCAGAACAGCAAAGGCCCCAGTTGCTTCCACTGGACTGAGACAACATCGATGTCAATGATAAATCGCACTGAAATTGAAAGATTTTCGTATGCTCTATCACAGTGAGATGAGGTCATCTTTTTAGTTGAGACCTCGGGTTAGTGTGTGCAAGACACCTTCTGATCGGAGCTTTTTGATCATAGGTGTTAACGAAGTTTGAATAAGGTGGGCTGGAGTGAGTGGGTTCGTTAGACCGAGGTTAGCGGTCGCGCATTCGGGATTTTTTCGGTGGAAAATCCGCTGTCAAACGATACTAGGATTAGTGAACTTTCATGATCAAAACCAGTGAGTTAATCTGTCCAGTAGTCGTCTACCGTATTGTGCTCCGTTTGTGGTTGTTGCCTTGTGATGGAGATAATTACTCATAGAGCTCAACAAATGTGAGATGTGAGATCGAGATTCGAAAAACTGAATAGAGAAATAAAAAATTGTGTATGTCTAACCATCCTGACGACCGGGGAACTGGGCGATTGTCAGGCATTGAAGACTGTGGCAACACTAAGGTTATTTATATCATTTTTCACGCACCAGAATGTATGATTAGCGATTAGCTATGTAGATGGAGTGCGTTGACCGGAGTGCTTCGATTTTTTTCCTCTTTTTTCAATTAGATCCACTTCTTACTCGCCTTGTACATTCATAATGTGTAGATATTGTGAGCTTGGCAGAGATTAGCGAAAGTGGTTCATTTTATTTTGCTGTCGGCAAACAGACGGAAATGGGCATTCATTAAACGCACTGTTTCAGTGTGATTCACAAGACAGCCATGGCCAGGTGGTTCAAATCGCTATCACTGCCGTGATTTGGGACGTGAAAATCCGGAGTTCGAACCAGTCCGACTTAACCCACCATACATATCCTAATGAGGTCTTATGAGGACTCCAGTCTCACGGCTTGAGTGGCTACCAAACATGAATGAACAGTATGCCCTCTTGATAATGGGAATTAAACTTTACGCTATTCGTAAAAAGCAATCGAAGTCCTGTGCAAATTTGGTGGTCAACATTTTTAGGGACCAGATACTGTTTCCACTACTCACTTCCCACACCCGCTCACCTTTCTCTGCGGTAGCATTAGCATGTTGATCAGATTAAACGACACGTTTCGTGTTTACGAGTCTCTTTGATTCGGCATTTGATTCTGAGGAAATTGTAAGTATTATTTCGTTCATGTTTATTCGAAAATTAGGATAAGACGAACTGACTAGCTTTCTCGTAGTCTTGAAAATCGCATACGTTTGCAATTTCTCTTCGTCGCTTCGTTTTTGATGGATGGAACGTTTCGATTCGTGGCCTAAACTGTGTGATGAATTGCATGCTCGTCTGTTGAAGACACTATTGGTGAGATGTCCAGTGCATTTTTTCACCACAGACCGGCCCAGTTTTGTGCACATTTATAATGACACGAAATAAGCACGGACCATGGGGGCGAGTGATTCCAAATGAAACAAGAAATCTCCCTTCTCCTTGACATCTTTCTGGGGAAATTTCTTTCTGTTCCTGCTTTTATTTTGTTGCGTAACGATAGTATACGAAAACAGGCCTCTTGAATGACAAATGGAGCGAAACATCCAAGATTTTAGGGGGTTGAATTGAAGTATGTGTTGAATAGTTTCGTTACAAATGATGGGGGATGAAGATCGTCTTTGGTTAGAGACGCTGAGAGATATGGTCCAGAATAGAAGTCAGTTGCGCTAATGCTGTATGGTTTGCCTGTTGAAGTCCCGCGCCCCATAAAAAGAAACGATAAACTAACACACAAAAATTTCAAAGTGTAGAGTGAAACACAAAAAATTGTTATCCCATTTGTTCGTCATTTTCTTTTTAACAGTTCCGTCTTTTACTACATTCTGCATCCCACCCAATCCCGTTATTATTACTGTTATTCTTGTTGTGGGATGCAGAATGTAG